TGGCCCAGCAATCTGTTTTAAGGTTCAAGCTGCTGTTGTTTGGGAATACAGTAGTTTCGGAACGGCTGAACGGCTTAAAGTGGTTCTTGTTTTTGCTAAATATTGCCTATTTCCCGTTGTTTGCCCAAACACTACATGATTAATTTATAACTTTTTACCTTGGGGCACATAGTTAAATAAATCAAATACAATTTTATAATATAAATATTTTGTAACTTACAATAGAGCAAGTTTGGTCACGTCATTTGACCTACATTTTGGGCCCTAAATGAATATTTGGTTTTGGAGGAAAGTGAACTGCTTATTGCCAGGCACTGTTGCATTATTTGTGCCACACACTTTGGTTTGTTTACATTTAAATGTAAAATGTGTTCATGCTTTCTGGAAAAGTCTTCATAATGGAAGATCATTTCTAAATTATCTCAAATATAACTTTAGCATTTCTGTTGTATACTTGTTGTTTTAACTTACTAGTGGGATACATCTGCACTTCATTTCGTGTTGCCTAATTATTGGTTGAGCTTTTATTCAAGTGATGATCTGCTTTTATTTTTCTATCAACAAGATGCCGATTACAAACTGATGCAAAATTACACAAAACCTCAGTTTAACAGTTTAATCATCATTCAGTAATTTTTCAAGCAAAAAGCTCATATTGTTTATCAAATATGAGCAATGTGCGCTTTTCTGTGATTTATATGATAGTAAACTAAATGTTTTTGGGTTTTGTGGTAATGGTAAAATAACACAACATTTAAAAAATATATAACAGTAAAACATTTGAGACTATAATAAATCAAATTTTAATTGTCAATTAAAGCTGTAAAAATATTGTTTTAAACATGAATTGCATTTCTAAAGGAACCAAGTTACAAGGTTAACACTGTGATGTAGCCTGGCTGTCTTCATCACTTATTTTATTTACTGTGTTAGTGCATCTACACGGGCTCATGCATAATGCCTGGCTTTATTTCCCATGCCTCTACAGATGAACCCTTCTGTTGAGAGAAACAAAAGCTCCATAAACATACCCAGATGTTTTACACACCGGCATCTCCATACATCATGGTATCGAGTACAGTGGAATCCACTATTCCCCTGAGTTCATGTATGTGTAGGTAGAATATTGTGCAATGCAAGTTATGATTATAATGTAAGATTGAACACTAGTACTGTATACACATATGGGTTATTCATACAGGTTGTGTATTAATTAGGATAGTGCCTCTCTGGTGCGTTTCATTAGGGACTGGCCTTTTTGAAGTTTATTTTTTTTAACCAATAGAGGATGCTTACGGCATTACTGCCAACTCTGAAGAAGAAGAGCCTTTCCTACTTTTCCCTGGAAGTTCAGCCACAAGGGAAGCTCTGCTAATAAGTTCCCTTGGCTAAACTCAACCTGTTTTCACCCTCAATCACTGCAATGTAGAGAGAACTAAAGATGTATTTGCTCTTGTAGACATTTCACTAGATGTCTTAACGGTTGAACAAAATATTCTGCTGCATAGTTTTGGGCTTTAATAATGAAGTATTTGTATCATGAAATATAAAAAAGAGAGTCTGTAGCAAAATGCCTCGTGCAGCCTCTGTTCACTTTCCTCACCACCTCACAGCGGTGAATAAGGATTAAATAAATTGCCTCAGTGAGGGCTGGGCCATTTCTGTTCATATTTTCACAGCTTAAATCTGAAATGGAAATGAGAGGCAATTATAACAGCTTTTAATATCGCCATTATTACACAGTGACCCTTCATTTCACACTGATTGGGCACTTTGGTTAAAGCAGTCGTGTTGAAAGTCACCCAGACTTCTGTTTTTCTTTCTGTCTGAAAGGAGCACTTCTTTTTGCTCCGACCTCTCAGAGGATGGCTTTGTGTGCTCACTTAACTATGTTTTTTCCCCTTTTTTAGCCGTTTCACGGTGTCTGACTGTCCAGGAACAGTCACCCAATCTGACCTTCTGACACAGATGAGGGCTTTTACAGCGGGCTTTCTCTGAATTTATTTTTTGTTCTGGGGGGGCTGTCTCAATCTGACTTGTCCACTATGGATACGGATGAAGCCTTGGCAGCTGTCGTTGTAATTTAACTTTTATTCTGCTGAAAGAATACTTTTTGGTCTTAACCACAGATTTTATTCAAACATATTAGTATGGGCCTTACTTTCCAATTATTAAACTCCTCTCAACCTGTCACCTTGATACTATTTTCAGGAAAAGTACATTTTGTAAAAAAGGTTGTATGAAAATGATACATTTTCATTGAATATTTCATGAAGTATTAATATATACTCGTGTGATATTGAGGGTTCGGCTTTGGGAAAATGCTAAATGTTTCAATATTTTGTGACAGATTAGAGACAGTATTTGTACAATAAATTAACAAGATGATCTGAATATTAATAGATAATGAAAATAATCATTGGTTCCAACCATACACTAGTAAAAATAGAAATACATTCTCATGTGTTATTTCCACTGGCAATATAAAAGCCCTTGTCCATCCCAAGCTCTCCCTTTGTACATTTCTGTGAGGGTGATGCTTGTTGACACATCTTTGCGCAGAGCACAGCCTCTTCTTTCAGAGGTAGGTGTCCACATGCCTGTGAAGGTATCGCCTCCAACAGATCAAAGACAGTTGGCACATTATTTATGCATTGGTGAAAGGTGAGGTATTCAGTTGAAGCCGAGCAGCAAAGCATAGCTACCCCTTATTCTGAAGTAATGACTTTCTCTTGATTGAGTGCTCCAAGTCAAATCCAGAGCCACTGCTTTCTGTCCTTTTGCTTTGTTCTCTGTAAAAGGCCATCATATAGGACTTGAAATCATGAAATAAAGTACATTATTTTTCAAAACCACCACAACTAACATCTGTTTTAGTCGGTCATTAAATATAAATGATCTCTCCTGTGTCTTTTCTCAAAAAACGTAAAAAACTTAGCTAACACAATTGTTAATGAGAAGTTGATTTTTGTGATACATATTTTATCCCAAAAGTCAAACCTACTTGGAGAAGTACTTGTTACCTACTATGATGATTTCAGCCAAAAAAAACACAGTTCTAACTTTGAGGTTACATCCTCAAGACTGATGATTCGCATAAAAATATAGAGACAACAGTGGAGAGCCCGAGGCTACTCTTTTGCTCCTCTTTACACCAAGGCCTAAGGCAACAACCTTGGTCCGTACATTTCAACAGCTTTCAGTATCAGACTAGAGATACATGTATCCCATGCCTTCATTTATTGATTATTTTTACTGCTACATCACAAGATATTCAAGTTATTACTAACTCTCAAGTCAGGTTAAAATCCTGTAGTGCGGGAAATAATAGTACAAGTGGTTTTGCTTACTATTTTGTTTATCTCAGCAGATCCAACTCATAATAAACCATCATTAAAGGATCTTCGCTTTAAACAAATGTTATTCTGACGGCCAGTGAAAGCACATTTAAGCAACTTGCTCACTAAGGACTCTTTCCACTCAAAGGTCATACTAGATAAGTGGGGAGGAGAAGGTACACCTCGTCACTTTTTGAAGGACTAAGTGTGCTGCACTGAAAGAGACCATGGGGAGACTCAAATGACTGAAAAGGCTATATCAGCGAGCACTTGTGGTCGAAGTTATTTATTTATTAATTTGAGGCCTGTCTACTGACACATCTGAGTGGTCTAATTGCTGCAAATTGACACCGGTTACTGTCCATAATGGGAGCTTGGGAGTCTTTCCTAACCGCGGTTCATTCAGCCGCCCCTTGCTGCAGCTTAACTGCCCTTAAAATGTCTGATTGCAACACGGGAGCTGTGGGGCGAGACAGGATTATCAGTCTTTGTTGTGTGACTGTGTCTATTATCCTGACCTCTATTCACAGTGGGCCCTTAGGAGTGTCGCTTCCAGCCACACAGCAAACTACCCTGGTCCCCGACAAACAACAAGTGAACCAGAGATCTCCCCCTGTCCCAATGCACTAGACACTTACAGCTCCAACACTGGCCAAAGAACCCCACTGCAGGTAAGGCTATCAAATCCATATTGATTTAATAAAGATAAATTGGAGGCACTTCCTTTCAATGTTATTGCAGCAGAGGCGATTGATTGTGTGTGATATAAGTGTTGACTGGTGATATTTTCACCAAGCTGAGTGATTGCTGTTAGTTTGGGAAGTTCATTACTAGTGAAGAGCTGCTGGCAGAGCTTTGATGGGGAGCTAAAGCTAGTTGTTAAACTGTGAGCTGTGGAGCTGTGTGCGAGATTTTGGCAGATTTTGACATCACAATGTGTTTTGCTTAATAGCTAGCATATGTGGCATTTATGTTTCATTTGTTGGACACTTTCTATTTATTGTATTTCATTTCCATTAGCTATTTTCTTGTAAATATAAAAAGAATAACCAAATATTTGATGCAAATGCATGTATAGTCTCTAGATATTCTTAACGAAACATTTATTTTTGTTAAAAAGAAATACATATCTTTTTAATTTGAGATATTACATCTATCAATGGTCCAAATGTAATTAAAATATATTATTAATACGTTCTGGTGAAAAACATTTGATTTGACATCTGAAAATGTGGTTCAATACTGATAGCAGAAAATAATAATGCTGATAGCATACCTCAGCTCGAGGTGAAATGTGGGAGAAACCTTCATCAGGAAATTAAACGTATCTCTTAAATGTTGATAAAATAAGTATTACGTGTGAAACCCTTTGAAATTACATTTATAGTAGTTATTTTACTGGATGAAAATTGGATTGCTATGCAGAAAAAGCTTTTTTCTCTTTGTGCCACTGACGTACAGCAAGAATACTGATGAACAATGCCAGAGGTTGTTAACTCAGAGGCTTGTGATTGAGGTCTGGTATGACACGCAGGCATAGTAAGCTTCAACATGAAGTTCCATAAATACATACCCATTAAAGCTCAACTGATTAATTCATCATGTTTATTTTCATGGTGGATGTTGTGAAGCCTAGAAATAAACACTGAAATCATACGGATGTCAAGGTTCCAAGAGTTATGAGGGCTTCTGTGGCATATTTTTAATATTACATTTGACCTAAAACCTAAATATGCACATGATGAATGAAGGATGATTCTCCCCCCCTTTTCCGTATATCTGCCGTGTTGATAGAGATGTTGTCCTGGCAGGTTAGAGGAGGAAAGGGCATTAACATCATCATTTATTAAGCCTTTTGTAAAACCAAGAATGGTGGTGCTTTGGTTCGTCTGATCCTCTCTGTCGGAAATACAGTATCAGGATATTCTTATCCTTCTGCTTTGAAAAGTTTCAACCACAGTAAGTGTGCATTCAAATGATTTCTGTGTGCTCTGATTCACCACAAATTGCTTAATGGTTTGAATCTCACTCCTGACAGCACCGTTAGAGACTTGTAGATCATTTCCAGTGAGAGCCATTAAATATGTTTTGTTCTTTATGCATTTATTTTTGACTCAAAAGCATTGCAATGGGGTCACCATATAAATGTGCTTTGTTGGACAAAAGTAGAAGAGAACATGCATTATAAACCACTTTAATAAAAGAGCACATTTTAAGTAAAGTACTCTACATGTTGTAACTGCACAAATCTTGCATTTTAGGTGTGTTTGTGTACACACACTTGACTAGACACAGTTTTACACAATTGTTATGAACAACATTGGAATGATTTGACATCCGGTGGTTGCGGGAAATAATTCTTTAAACGTACTTTAAAAATTGTAGTGCTAAATTTATCTCGAACTTTTCCCGCTGTCAAACAGAGCTGGTCCGCTGACTGCAGAGCTCTCTTATCCTCCCTCAGCCCACTACATCAGATGGGGATGATTGCAGTCTTGAAATCAATGAAACCACAAACCTTCCTGATAATATTCCCTCGTGGGGTCTGGTAGCAGTTACAGTCGTGCCCCATTTATCCGTCCACGGGACTCTGTACTGGAGACGTCTGTGGGTTCAGTTTGTGAACTGTATTTAATGAAATAATGGATACATTTGCGTGTTAACCAGAACTGTTAAACTCAAATTAGCGGCATGTATAATGTTATTGAGAAAAAGCATTTTATAATACGGTTATAAATAAATGTTTTATTGTTCGGATTGACAATCCAATATACATTAATGGTGAGTTAGCAGGTTCTCTTTATTTCTACTTTTGCTCTTTAGTTCTCTTAGTGAGAGGAAACACTCAGGAACACTCGTACATGATGACACATTTGTTCTTGGGATTGTGAGATCATGCCCCCCAGAGAGACATCCACAGATCTGTAAATGGACCAATTTGACAATATAAAAGTCTCTCAAGCTGCCAGATCAATCTTTTTCTTTCCACTGCATTATTCCCCAAACAATAAAAAGACAATATCAGATTAATATATAGTCTGTTCTTGGCCGGGATTTATCCTTGTGGGGCGGAAAACATATCCTTGTCTGAAGTCACCGAGCAGTAAGAAGGATTTGGTTGACAGAGCACAGAGAGCCCAGAGATGTCTCTGCATTTGAGGTCACTGGTGGATAGCAAAATTATCTAAAGCCCTAGTTTGCGTCGATTTCTCCCCCCCCCCAATCCCAGAGTGAGTGTCAGAGATTAGTGGTGTATCCATCCTGCGTGACCTCTTGGAGCTAAAGAGATACTGCTTTGCCATCACACAATGCAAGGGCAAGACTGCCATTTCAATGCCATGCTACGCCATTCAATGACCCTTTTGTTAAATGCCTTAGAATGGTGGCCTTGCATGTAATTCAGGCAGTACGCAAACCCCCCCCCCATCGCCTGAACTGGCTTTTTCAGATATAACTATTTTGTTCTGCTGAGGCATCTCATTTTGGTGATAGTTTCTATCATTTTAGATTATTCGATTGGGAAATATATTAGTTTGGGATCTACCAGTATGGTAATATAACATTTCTCCTCTCTCTAGAGCTTGATGTTCAGTGTTCACAACTCTTTCTCTTAAAAATGTAATTTAACCTCACATCTTTGTCCTTTTTTACAATAATTTACAAAGCTTACAATAATTTCCAAAGCTTACACAAAGAAGCGACTTGCATGCATTTTACTGACCTTCTATTTCTTACCAACATAAATGTCAATTCTAATTGGATAGAACATGTCCATTGTTTAAAAATCATTCATTTGGCTCTTTTTTTTAAAAGCATAATTGGTTATTGGATGAAGGTCCATATTCTGAAAATGATTTAACAGACCTACGCGCATGATTAGTCAACCGTTATTAAACCTGAGATTTCAGCGTTTCTCTCACTTTGAGTGACAAGCTAGTGTTGGAAATGGACAAAGCTAATAGAACTAGTGTCAAAATGTCAAACGGACCATCTTTGAAGCATCAACAAAATGTCTGTATTGAATCTCTCAAAGGCCTCAGTATTCCCTTACCCAAACCACACTCAACACAACCAGAAAACTGGCATACAAATCTCAGATATCTGACATTCCCATTTCTGAGGCTGTCAGGCTTTCTCCTGGTTCAGGCGTTGTGTGATGTTTAAATCGTTCCCCTAAGGAAGTGGAACACTTCAAAAAGCCCCTGATTCCATCCACCATGTTGGACAAACAAAGTGTCCGGCTATACCGAGAGGCATGGTGTACAGTAGGGCTGCTCGATTATGGCAAAAATCATAATCTCGATTATTTGGGTCAATAATTGTAATTGCGATTTATTAAATGCGATTATTCATTGACTTTGAAAACATCCATTTATTGGAGAATTTTTTTTTTAACAGTATGTTTTTAACAGTTGATTACCCTGAACTTTAAGTATAATTCAACTGAAGAAAAAAAAAGTAATAATAAAAAAAAAAAAGTAATAATAAAAAAAAAAAAATCGTTTTATTTCGATTACGTTGTTTTCGTAATCGTTGCAAGCCATAATCGTAATCGCAACTAAAATACGATTAATTGAGCAGCCCTAGTGTACAGTGTTTTATAAAAATCTATGTGCTGAGATGTATCGAGGTGGGTATTGGTATGGTTAAAGCATTATCTAAACAGTTACACATTCTCTATTCAGATGGTAAACAATTCTAAAGTAACACACATGAGATTAGTCTAACAAACAAAATGTAGAGCAGAAGAAAGTCACATGTTTTCTTAATATCACCCCCTTCAAATGACTCCAGTGAAGTCATTCAGTCTACTTGGAGAGACTGTAAAAGTACAGCATTGGTTATTCTTTGATTCTGTTTGTTGTGTCTGTTTGTTGAATGAAAGTTGTATTTGTTTTGCATTAGGAATGCTTTGGCAGCCACATGCTTGGCTCAAGTCAAACTCAATAACCCATCTCAGTAGGGACATGCAGGGACAGGGAAGAGGCAAGTGCTTCAATAAGAAACAGGAAATCCCCTTTCCTCCAGCATTTTTGGAGTTTATCCACATCAGCATACATTCATTATGATTTGTATCTGTATGCATCTGATAAGTTGTTATTTCCCTTTATCTTGATCTAGATCTGAATAGTAAAATATAGTACTCTAAAAGTTCTGTATGTATTTTTAATAATAAATAAAAGTCATAACCTCAGGTCATCTCATGCAATACTTTGCAGCTCCCTTCACTACACTGTATTTTGTTATTGGCAGCAAGAGTTACTCTATTTCTGAAGAATACTAGATTGTATAATGTTATGTTTCAAAGAGTAATTGGCAATTTATGACTCTGGATTACAAATACTTCAGTTTCCGAGGTGAATTTGAGGTTATAAGGAATTTTCGTAAGTAACGTGTTGAGTTTTAGCACTTCTGCAGTACGTGCACAGTTCCTCACTGCTTGTTGCTTAGAGAGCAGTACGTTATTATTTCCCGGGACAAATTAAATGTGGCCCATGATGCAATACGCAAAGGTAGCAAAGGTGTTGAATTTGTGCCCCTTCTGGTCATTATTTACTATAATTGCTGATGAAAAAACGGCAATTACCCCATGGATAGTGAATTATTTAGTAAGCTCAAGGAGGATAAGAGGGACATTGTCCACTCTGGAAATTGTTTTCAAGCAGAGTGGTTTACTTGGAAGTTTGTATTTCCTTTCTGTCATTCTCCTTTATGGCAATGCAAGCACACTGATAGAAAATATACCCAACCTTTTTTTACGTTGGTTTATTTTATATATTAATACAATAAATAATACATTACAATAAATGTCCATCCATCCATCCATCCATCCATCTTCTCCCGCTTATCCGTGGTCGGGTCGCGGAGGTAGCAGTTCCAGCAGAGAGCCCCAAACTTTCTTTTCCCTGGCCACATCAACCAGCTCTGACTGGGGGATCCCAAGGCGCTCCCAGGCCAGCGAAGAGATATAATCCCTCCACCTGGTCCTAGGTCTACCCCTTGGTCTCTTCCCAGCCTGGAACACCTCCCTAGGGAGGCGCCCAGGTGGCATCCTTACTAGGTGCCCGAACCACCTCAACTGGCTCCTTTCGACGCGAAGGAGGAGCGGTTCAACTCCGAGTCCCTCCCGGATGACACCAGCCACCCTGCGGAGAAAACCCATCTCGGCCGCTTGTATCCGCAATCTCGTTCTTTCGGTCATGACCCATCCTTCATGACCATAGGTGAGGGTAGGAACGAAAATGGCCCGGTAGACAGAGAACTTTGCCTTCTGGCTCAGCTCTCTTTTCGTCACAACGGTGCGGTAAAGCGACTGCAGTACCGCTCCCGCTGCTCCGATTCTCCGGCCCATCTCACGTTACCTTTGTTCTCTCACAAGACCCCGAGATACTTGAACTCCTTCACTTGGGGTAAGGACTCATTCCCTACAATAAATGTGAATTATTTTAAGAACCAGTAAAGTCACTTTGTAGCTAAGTTTATTTTGCATCTGCTTTGGTTGTCCAGGTTATTTCAATGCACATGACACAATGTTTACATATTTACAGCAAAAGAGATTGTGGATCCCACTCGCATGAAACAGTATTTGTCTGCTAGTTTCCATATATAATACTGGTTTGAAAATAATCAAACGGATTCAGATTGTGGAAAAAAGGACAGGCTTGAGAGTATGCTTCACCTATAGTAAATAGAGTTCCTTTTCATTATGCCCATGCTCCCAACAGGCCAAAAGGTTGCTGTGTGATGGGTCATGCTTATTGTGCAAGTTTCTGAAGGTCCATACTGCCGGACTGGACTCTTCTAATAACCATATCATTCGAGTTGTCAGCTCCTTTCCATGTTGCTACCTAGAAAAGGAGCTGTCCATCAAGTGCTGCAGCTTGCCTTTAAATGTCCCTTTTCAACGGATACTAGCCACTCGGGCACTTGCATTCCAGTTTCATGCATAGTGCTTTCATTATATCAACATTTTAGGAACACTGTAAGTAGTGTTTAAAAGGCAATTATTCTTAACTGAGTGGAACAGACGGTCAGAACCTAGGTCATACCTCCAATGATAGGGCCTTGCCTGAATATAGGCTTTCAGAAAATGACTGGCAGTCAGTAGTTAATGATGAGTATTGGAAGGAATGGCACTATCTGCTTAGTGTTCATCTCCAAGAGCGCCGCTCCATAATGTGCTTCCAGGCCCAAGGCAGAATCAGTGTTGGTACCTAGATAGGACCCCAGCTGTGTGTTCCTACGAGATAGCAAAGCACAAAAGTAGCCATGACCGAAATGCTGATAATGGAATCAGTGACATTTGATGTGTTACTTTAATCCCCACACTTTGAGACTCCATTTTATTTATCAATCCATTTGGTAGATTTGCTACACCTTGGCTGAGAAGGGTTTGGATTTGTGGCTGCAGGAGGACTTTCGTTTTATTGATATGTAATTCATATAAAACATGTCCTGATGCAGTGTTTAATAACTATTCTGCCCTATTTGACCCTATTTTCTGGTCCCCATAAAATCATGACCAACTTACCAACAGTGGTTACAATGAGTTCATTTGTGAGGGACAATTATCATTGGTTAACAGAAAACTCTAAATGAGTTAGAAATTCAAATTATTATTATTA